CTCCTTCCCTTATTAAAAGATTCTTTTAACTAAATTGCGCGGTTTAAGAAAACAGTTAAAATTAGTTAAAAGCAATTAATATGTAACAAATGTAATTTTTTTTCCAAATATACCCCTATATATAACTAAATAAATGTGAGAGAGTAATAGTAAGATAAATAAAGAAAGAAAATATATTAAATACATTAAATTAGGGGTAAAACAGGTAATATTATATTAAATGCTTAGACAAACTCAAAGAGGATCTTATAAAAAGGGATAAACTCATTCAAAAAATTAGATCTTATAATAAGGGATGGAAGGAGTATAGTCTGATTTATTATGTATTTAATACTCCTCCGAATTTTAATGTGAGACCTAATTAATTAATTTAACTAAATTAAAGATGTTAGTTAAATTAGTTAATATGATTTTTTTTAAAACACCCTAATCATCTTTTTTAATTCCTTCATTCCCTCTCTTACTTGACTATTGTTAAGGAAAATATCAATACGATTAATTTGGAAAAAAAAATTGATAAACATGTGAAATAGGTTTTACATATAAGACTAACATCAACTCTCAAATTAATTTCTACATTAAGGATTGGAGGAGTATTATATATTTCGTATCTTTCAGCTATTTGGATATATTACCTTCGATTCTTAATATAAGAATTAGTTGACTAATTTGAATAGATTAAGAAAGTTTGTTAAGTTAGTTTTTTGTAATAAATAAGTATTTTTTTTCTTGAAATACCGTTACTAATCATGTGTATTAGTTAGAACTGCTATTTGATGGCATAGTAAATTAAGATCTTATATTTAAAGTCAAATTAAAAATTAAACTAGCTCCTATACTAAGAATAAGAGGTAGTATAAAAGTAAAATAAAGTTCGCCCAAGCGCAAGAATAGTTCCAGCAAATTTTGTGCTTTGAAGTCTACTTCTTATAATTTTATGCTTCGAAAATCAAGTGTGGGATTTGGTCTTAAGTTGGTTCAAAAATAATATAATTAATGCAAAATATATTTATCTATATCTTTCATTTTGACTTAACATGGCAAAATAATCAAATATGTCTAACATTTTTAATCGATCAAATAAAAGGATATTTATGTCATATGTAAATAATTTTCCTAACTTTTAAAAATTCATAATAAGCCTCCTAAGCTTTTACATTTATGCAAATAACTCTCATACTATTAGGTTGTTTAGTATTTATTGGCAAATGTCTTAAAATTTAAGAGGTTTATCTATATATATATATATATATATATATATATATATAACACTCAAAATTTGAAGGGATTATATGCATATAAAAATAAAGTTTAAGGGGGTACAAATTGATTAGCTTGAGGTTATCTACACAAATATGAAAGTTTAGAGAGGTTTACTAACTAAATTTTAGAGGTTAAGCAGTTTGTTTGTACATATTCTAAATTAAAAAAAAAAAAGTTTAATGCAATTTGGCCTTGTTATATTGAATTATATTGTATTTTCTAATAATAATTTAATGGGCCCAATCTTTATTATTTAGGTTTTCTAAAAAAATCTTTATCTTTATTATTTAAGTAAATATTTTATAAATATTCGTGAAATTTTGTGCTCACTCAAATCCTAGATATATGAGAAAACTTCGTATATTGTGGTATTATATTGCCAATTAGACTTATTTTTGGTGAAAAAAATAGACTTGTTATAGATTTATTTCTTATATATATAATTATATATGCTATACTTATTTTTATTAAATTTTTATTTAATTATTATCTCACCGATTTCACAGCCAGTCTAACTGTTAATCTTAACAATTCCATGTTCAGTTAATTTTTAAAATATTAGGAAAAAATTATTGAATAAGAGTATTCTAAAAAAATTTAAAATATCATAAAATTTTGAATTTAAGGACAAAAATTAAAAAAGTTATATATTTATTATATTTAAATGCGTGACATAAAATATTTGATAACGAAAGAGAGCAGCGGCAAGGTAGCATGATCAAACTAACTTGCTTGACTTTGGGCAGGAAAATAAATGCAGAGAGAGCACCTTAAAAAGTTGTTATTGCACATTTAATAATGATTAATGGTATCCCTTATGCTTGTTCACTTATGCGTTTCCAGAGAGATTCAGCATGCCACATTGATATTGAGTACGAGTATGTACTTTGTCTTGTGTTTTTTGGTTCAAAATATAAGATAAATTTTATTCATTTACATTTATTAAAAAATTAGTTAAAATCAGTTTAAAATAATAAATATGTAAGGTATGCATTGTTTTTTTCAAATATGCTCTTATTAATGAAGAGTATAAGTAAAAGATGTAATAAATGAATTAAAGAGGAAAGAGAATATATAGGGATAAAATTGGAACAAACTCAATAAATACTTAGAAAAAAGTGAATGTTATCTTATAAAAAAACCAAATTCCTCCAACAAAATTTAGCTTATATTTTGAACCGGAAGGTGTAATAACTAGATTACGAAATTTAAGAAAATAGTTAAAATTAGTTAAAAGTAATAAGTATATGAAAGAGAAAGTATGAAAGAGAATGTATTAAACTTTTTAATTAATGTAATATATAAAATTAAATAGGGACAAAATTGGTAAAAACACATTAAATGTTTCAAAATTAAATAGGGACAAAAATTCAATAGCATCCTCAAGTTGTCCAAAACACTAAAGCAACAATTAATTTAAAAATAGATGGAGTATAAAATTACCTTGTATTTGATTCCTGCATGAAAAACACTTTGTTTTGACAAAAATGATGTGATCTTGTGAAGGTTGTGATTTAGCAAAGGGGATGAATGTGGAGAAAGATGAGTAATTAACATGAGATTTGTCTCCCTTGTTATGAGAGAAATATCTTTGATCGCTTTAATTAGTGAAAATGGTAAATACATCACTATGCTAAGATGAAATCAGTTTTATTTGTCTCATTAGTCTACTCAAATATTAAGAAAGTGAGGTTGAGTAGTACTCCATTTGTTACTTTTTATAAGGAATAATCTCTCTCGTGGTGGTGTTTCTAAATGTAAGAAATTCTTTTTGCTTAAAATTTTAAATTAGTCTTTCTATTTTTATCTTTATTAAATATACACGGTTTATTGTCTCTTTGCAATAAATTTTATTCATTATTTCTGATGTATTCTCTTTATAAACAAGAGTATAATTAAAATATATTTATCTTACACATTTATTGTTTTAAACTAAATTTCAACCAATATTTTAAATCGTGTAATTTTAGTAGTTGTTTTTAATTTTTCAAAGGAAAAAAACGAACAGAAGGAACATTAGAGTAACATTTTCGTATATCATGCTTGTCCCAGTATAATAAAAAATAGATTTGACCCAGTTTACAATTAGTCAATTTTATATAAGTAGTTAAATTAATTAATTTTACATGAACAATCACTATAAAGATTATTTTAAAAGAAATGGATAAATATTAAAAACATAATAAATTAAAATATTATATTTATGACTAAATTAAATTTTTAATTAGTTTTTTTATTAACTACCGGAGGTGATATTTTGAAATTGGTAAGCTGTCTTTTCTTAATTCAATTTAAGCCTAAAGTATACATAGGTTTGTTTAGTAATAATCAATTTGCAGAACCCTATACCTTCAGCTGGTTAGGTTCATGTGACTGATAAGCCCAAAAAAAAAATGTAGGTACATGAATACAAATCAAGTAAAATAATAAGCACCGCGGAAAAAAAAAGGGGACCTATTTAAAATTAGATGAAATTATAAAGACTTAATAAAAAGAAAAAGATTATAGGGACTTGATTAAAAATTAGGTAGAAATTGAGATGGTAAGCGGTCTTATTCTTGTAAAAAAAAAAATACAAGTTCAAATTCCAAAAAATACACTTATAGAAGTGCTTTAGTCTTAACGCTCTGAAAAAAATTACTCTCAAGCTCAAAATATTTTGTAATGCATCCGGTATCCTAAAAAATACTTAGGTGTGTCCAGCATCCTACATGTAAAAAATATATTTTAAAATGCTAAATGTACTAAAAAATGCTTCAAAGTACTGAACAAATTTTTTTAAAAAAATTTTAAGATGCTATATGCACCCTAATATACCTTAGGGTATATATCTTAGGATGCTGGATATCCTTAACCCTATTATAAAAACAGCAAGAAGTGTGGAAAAAAGATTTCAAAATGAAAAAAAACGTAAAGAGAATAATAAACAATTCCTTGCTATCAAAGGGTTAAACTTCTAGTTTTTCCAGAAAGACAAACAACTACCAACTAACTAATTAAAGTACAAGAGAGTGAGAAAGGAGAGGGGAAATGAAGAAAAGACTAATAGGATAACTAAACCTGAAAAATTCTAAGACTAATCCAATTTTTTTTTAATTTAAGGGAAAAAAACTGGGGAAAATAATAAAAAAAAAGTTGAAATTTGTAAATGTCAAATAAGGAATATCAACAAAAATTTGTTGTCATTTATAAATTCAATATTGTCAATACCAAATAAAATACTATTACCAAAACTGATTTGAGATTTAGTAATTTCTATCTCCTTTTTTTGTCACTCTCCCAAAAAACGGGTTTTTGCTAATTATAAACCATAACTGTTTGCCGTTTGGCTTCAATCGTCAAATCTTTCCTCATCCTTCTGATTAGTTTCATGTGGCTGATAAAAAGTTAAAAAAAAAAAAAACTATAGGTACTTGATTACAAATCACAAAGGACCGTAGGTTAAAAAAGGGACTCATTTAAAATTAGGTGAAATCATAAAGACTTAATAAAGAGAAAAAAAATTTATAGGGTCTTGATTAAATTTTTTTTCTGCTGGCAAAAAACTATACATTAATTTTTCCAGATTTTAAATTTTTATTGCATTGCCTATACAAATTAAAGTAAGTTGACGTTAAACAAATTAAGGAAATATCAAAAGAAAATAGATTAAAAAGAATAATAAACACTTTACACACAACTTATTATAAAAACAGCGAGAACTATGGAAAAAGATTTCGAAAATTGGAAAGAAAAAAAAAGAGGGGGGGAGAACGAGAGTAATAAACAATTCCTTGGCATCAAAGGATTAAACTTCCAATTTTGCCAGAAAGACAAGCAACTAATTAAAGTACAAGAGGGTGAGAAAGGACAGGGGAATGAAGAGAAGACTAAAGAATACCTGGAAATCCTAAGATTAATCTCTTTTTTTCAATTTAAAAAAGAAACAGGTTTTGCTAATTATAAGCCATTACTATTTGCCTTTTAGCTTCAATCCTCAAATCTTCCCTCATCCTTCCGATGAAATCTTCAAATTTCTTGTTCATTTGCTCTGTGCTTAACCCCCAATCCTCTTCCTCCACGTTTTCTTCCACCAAAATCTCTTCATTTTCCCTCCATTCTTCTTCTTCTTCTTCTTCTTCTTTCTTCATAGCCAAATCCAAGACTTCACTTTCTTTGCTTTCTTCTTCGTCTTCTTCTTCTTCCTCCATTTCCGCATCTATCTTAGTAGCCCTGACTTGAACATTCAACTCTTTGGCCTCAACTTGTTCTGAAGTATCTTCAATACTACTAGAACGTTCAAGAGGTTCATCATCATCATCATCACGCCGATCGTGATCACCAGGATCAGACTTGGATAACGATCTGGTGATGCTGACGAAAACAAGGAGGCCATTACAGAGAAGGAACATGCAGTTCTTGTCAATGGTGTGAGACAAGATCTGAGAAGGCAAGGAGGAAAGGTAGAGGTTGAAGTAATGAAGCAAGGACGAGGAGGAGGAAGAAGAAGAAGAAGACAAGAGAAGACAACAGAGAGAGATCAGTGAAACGAACAACAAATAATGGCTTAGCTTACTTCTGTTTATGAGCTTCTTAGCTTTACCCATATTTTCCATTCTTCTCTCTCTCTCTCTGCGTCTCTCTAATGTGGGAATGTAGCAGCAGAGAAATTACAGAGCTTGTGAATGAAGATTTAAACTTTATAAAGTGGAACGAAGTGACTTCAAGCCATGTTAAGACCTCCTCATATATAGGGTCTTAGTTCCTAAGTTCCACAAATGGACATGCTCACATGAAGTGAAATTCCTATTTAGACCACCAATGAGCCCCCAAATATATTGAATTTTTTTAAATTATGTGTAAATACTCTTTCTGCTTGCTAATATAAAAATTAGTTGTGAGGAATTGATTTGGTTTTAATTTATTTTATCTCCCAAATTTATAATTTTTTAAAATTAATTGCTAGTATTATATTGTTCAATTATATTCAAGGAATTTTCCTCAATAAGAATAGTTTCTACTTTCTAGTACAAATTATTAAAAGAGATAGACTAGGAAAATTAACAAAAAAATTTATATGTAACTCACTTCACTTATTTTATTAATCTTTGTAAATTAATCATCTAATTCTTACATTTAAGATTGGAAGTAATATTCTGGACTAATTTCAAGTATAATGATATTAAATTGTATCACTGTACCATCTACAACATCCCTGAGTTTCTTATTGTCTTGTACATTTTTTTCTCTCAGATGAATGAGCAGCAGACACTTGAGTTTTCTCACATGACTTGGTCATGAGGGATTGAAAAGGAAATATGAAAAATAGAAGTGATGATTTGTCACATGATTTGGGAGTAATTACATTCAACTTCACTTATATGAATATGACATTTCAAACGACATTATCTCAGGTGGGGCTTGGGAACAAAAGCTCCAAGGAGGTTGTGGTGGAGGTAGAAGACAAGCCACTAACTAGTGAACCAGCTTCAAAGTCACCCCACATAACAAAATCAAAACATTAATGATTTAATGCTTCATCCGTTGATTTAATAATGGAAGGAGACAGTGGTCAAATCATCATGAATCCATATTTACCAAAATTTAAGGCAAAAATGGAATTATGTGGGAAAAATTTATAAGTTAAATTGATCGCATAAAAGTCTCGAATCTGGATCCTAGATAATTATCTTTAAAACATTATAAAAAAAAGTCAAATGGGGAAAATTTTCAAAATATGATAATTGATAACTCACGGTTATTTTAAATATTGATATGGTTGTAAATATTGAGTTTTGTTAAATAAAGGAACAATAAAAACATGAAGTTGCAATGGAGATGTTGATGTTGATGAGATGGAAGTGATCATACCAAAAACGATAAAATTTATAATGAACATATATAAGAAAAAGTTGATGTGGTGTCTATTAATTGAAAAGAAAATGGTAAAAAAATCACTTGAGATTGAGATTAAGATAGGTATGAAGGAGGCTATAAAAAGTACTAGTGAGAAGAATAGATCATTCTCTAAAAAAAATAAAGGAAAAAATATTGAAGAGAATATTCAGTAAAATTATTGAATGAGACTTTTTGCTGAACAATTTATTTAAACATTTGGTTGTTAATAGTATATAATAACATTGTATGACTCGTATACCCAACTCCACCAAATAACATAAGACTTGTTGATATTTCATATGCCACCATCAATGATAACTTTACTCTGGATATGTTAGGATTATCAGTAGAAAAAGTAACTTATTCGTAGTTTGACTTTTGAAAAAGTGAGATTAGATAATGTGAATCGTGTTTGGATTGGATTTTATAAAAGTTGGGTTGTAAAAATGAAATTGGGTGAAAGGTTATTTGGTTTATGATTGAATAAAAGTGAGTTTAGATTGTAAAATTACTCAAATGAGCATGAATTTCATTAAATAATGAGTGAATAATGGAAGGAGTGAGAGAAAATTATTGTTCTCACAATTTCCAACGGTCCTAAACCCAATCGCCACTTGAAAAAGCTGCCTCCCCCAGCTTAAGGTGAATAGCACGTTTAGTCCCTTTTTTTGCCCTTAAATGCAGTCTTATACTAGCCTAGACCCCAAGCAAATTGTAGCCCTTTAAAAACTTCTCTCTCCTCTACTTCAAAAATCGAACAAGTACCCGGTAAATTGGTGAAACCCGCTATCCAAGTTCCATTGCCATCTCTTAGGAAACTTGTTCAATTTAATCCAACCAAAAGATGGAGGTTCCCATTTTTCTGAGCCCTGTTTCTCCAACGTCAGAGCATTTTCCTCGTCCTAAATCTGGCAATAACTCCTCCAACGGTTCATGATCCCCGAGCTTGGATCTTCTGGTTTTAGAATCTCCAGCTCGAAAATGGATTTGCTCTGCCAAAGCCATAGTTTCCAAATAGTAACTCCCATATCTGATTCCAGTAACCATCTTCCATAATTCCCAAGTCTCTTTTGAGATTCAGAGCAAACCAGTCAAGAAGTTTGAGACATTATTTTCACCTGGTAACATATATTTTTGAAATAAAACATCTGCCCATAATCCTTTTGTTCCAGAAAATAATTTCCACGTCAGTTGTTAGATGGACATGTTGAGCAGTAAATATCTATATTTGTTTGGCCCATCGGTTTTTTGAAAATATTTGGACTATAAAATAAGTTGCTACATTTGTTAATCATGTATATAATTTCATGTACCTTTGGATATATATTAACATATACTTACAATCCATTTTTTTTGGGTAAGTATTTAGCTTCCAATATACCTCTCTCCTATATAAAAGTTTACGTACTTTCGTTCAGTTGTAACAGTTTCACTCTTATTGGACCTTTGGTAGAAATATGTGAACTGCTTGACTAGTTATAATTTCTCTCTATCTGGTGAAAATTATTAATTTATTTTATTTTTTGTGGTGGCTTTGGATTATTGCTTGGGAATTAATTCAAGTGACTTTAGTAACTGTGGTTGGATTTATGCACAACATGAGCCTTCATATGCAAGCTTATATATATATATATATATATATAATTATGAATATATTGAAAATATGCAATCACTTGTTTGGTAACTTCACTCATGATTGTCACCAAAACATCAAATAAACTTTTGCCACTTCATCTTATAGTTTTCCACCGTACCAAACAAACGCAACTAAGTATTCGAAACCAGTTACAAGGAATATCAAATCTTTAAAGCAATGTTTTAAAATAATCAGAACAATTATTGAATCATCGGCAAAAGTTCTTATTTATTATAAATCATTAATTATTAATTGACTTTAATATTTTGAGTCAACATATATAAGAACAATTGTGTGGATGACCGGAAAAAAAAAATATTGTTGAAGTAGCACACTTAACAAGCTGAAAACAATCATTGAATGGGCAAATGCAATAGCCCTCACTCAAGAGTTATTTGATATTCTTTTGTGCAAAAAAGAGTTATTTAAATTTTTGGTAAAAAAAATTATTATTCAAATTCCAATCAATAATAATGCTGAATATTAATGTATTTATAACAGTTCTAGGAAATTATATTATTTATAAATCGTAAACAATAATACAACTCATCTTTAATTGAGTACAAATGCATGTGGCCTGTTGATATGTTATAGTAGTAATTGTATATAACCTATTAAGCTTATCAAAAAATTTATAACATTAATATTTTCAATTTCATATAAAAAAATTATTTTAATCCTTTGGACATAATTTTGTTGACTTTAAACTGGATTTTATTGACATTTTATCCGTTTTTTGACTAACTAGTTTGGCCATAAAAATAGTTTTCAAAAGAATATATAAAAATATCAAACAAAAATAAAGGATATATTGAGGTAACAAAATCTAAATAATAAACAAAGAAATGAGCTCAAGCATACCACACATATTTTATCTTTATCAAAATAGTTATATTTTTGTTTTCTCATTCCACAGCGGGTAGTACAATTCAACATTACATGTTACGGTATTTGGGCTTATCACAAGATCCATGGGCCAACTCATTTGACTTATATTATATTACAATGGGCTTTACTTAATGTTTTATTTTTTTCAAAAAAATACAAAATAGCAAGGGAAATAAATTTGAATTTGTATTTTTCAGAATAACTTAAATTTATTTCTGTTACAATTTAATATTGATATAGTATTAGAGTCTAGTTTCAATTTAATTTAATTTAGTGTTTAATTAAATTTAACTTTATTAACTCAACTAGTAGAAGAATAAAACTATCACATAGCTCTCTTATGAGCAAACTATCCACCTTACATCTTTATTCAAATTGTTGTGCAAAGGATGATAGAAAAAGAAATGAGTGTGAACAAACTATTTACCCCGCATCTTCATCCAAAATATTGAGAATGAAAAGAGTAGAAGGATATAACTCTTATATAACTCTCATATGAACAAAATATCCATCATGTAGCTTCATCTATCCTGTGACCATAGAAGAAGAAACGCGTGTAAACAAGTTGTAGAATTTCTTTTAAAAATGAATGAAATTGAAAAAAATAATCACAAATGATAGAAGGGTAAAACCCTTATATACCTCTCTTATGAATAAACTACCCCTACTACTTCACCCAAAATATTGATAATGTAAAGAGTAGAAAGATGACAGCATTATATAGCTTTCTTATAAACAAACTACACATTCTGCATTTTCATCCAAGTTGTTGTAAAGAGGATAATAAAAGAAAAAACAAGTGTAAACAAGTAATAAAAATTTGTTTAGAAGTGAACTAAGTTGAAGAAAATAATCACAAATGATTATTGATATGGTATCACAGTCTAGTTTTAACTTAATTTAATTTAATGCTTAATTAAATTTAATTAACTTATAACTAGACTCAGATAACATATCAATCAAGGTTTTAGGGCTTAATAATTTAACTAATTAAATTTAATTTAATTAGCTCATAACTAGACTTTGATACCATATTAATCAAGGTTGTCATAGCTGAACTGGATCAAAGCGGCTAGTCCATGTAATATCTTGAATATGTATGCTACAACGTCTCATAGAAAAAGCTATTTTGGGATGAAATTAATTTGTTATTAGGCCTTTACCTACTGTTGGAAAAACGAACAATTCTAGGTAATGCAAACTTAACTTTGAAAAAAAAAATTAAAAATTTGAAAATTGCTT